AAATGGAGGAGTTGCATGGAACGATAGAGCAACTGGAATCCGGGATGGGTTCTGAACCCGGCGACACAACTGCCTTGATCCAGCACAGGCTGGGGGCTTGGACAACACGTAGAGGATGTAGTCACACACAACACCGAGCACTGATGGCTATTGCTACCCAACACACGTCAGGAATCCTTGCCTGACTTCATTCATCGCTACAACGCGATGATCACACGCATGGCGGAGCTCGGCAACGTCGAATCGGAGGATCAATGCGTGATCAAACTCCTTGCGCTCATGCCTTGGGAATTCCGCCATATCGTTGACCGACTTCTCAACGGTCCGATGCAACCTACCATGATGGAAGTAAAGACTCAACTGGAATCAGAGTGGAAAGCCGCAATCAAGAGCGGAGCAATCAAACCCCCCAACGGACACGCAAATGAAGATCGCGCCTTGCTGGCACGAGGCAACGGCAACGACGGCCGAAGCAGCCGTGACAGTCGTGGGGGTTGCAGAGATCGCAGAGATCGCAACAAACGCGGACGAAATGTAAATAAGTCGGCTGGATCAACCGATTCTTACCACGACTGCGGAAAAGCGGGACATTTGTTGGCTGAATGCCGCAAGAAGGCCCGTGACGAGGGAAGACCCGCAAAATCGCGCAACGACAGCTCAGGGCAACGAAGCGGAAGCAGTGACGATGGTGAACAATCATCATACGCCGTGTTCATGTTCTCGGCCGTCGAAGTCGAACCCACGGTCGACGGAGAGCACGAATCGGGTCCACTACGTAACGACCTGACCTGGGACTGGGATGTCCGACCGATTCGCCAAGTCGTGCTCCACGGCGAGACCCTCACGGTAACCTTTCTCAGCCGTCGTGATTTGGAAATCGCCCGTTTTCGCCGCTTTATCGACATGAACGAGGCATCCACGCCAAACTGGATGATCCATCCGTTCCTGGTCACCAACTACGACGTAAGAGCCTTCCGCCACCGGGACCTGTCATCCATATCTGATGGGACACATCACCGTCCGTGGTTGCCGCCCAAAGCGTATATTTCCTATCCTTTGCAAGTGGGAAACGCGCCATGGTACACCGTGTACCAAAAAAGCCTCCACCACTATCAGTGCACGGAGCAAGAGGCACTCAACGTCGGTGCTACCAGCGCCTCAGTACCAACCCACGCCGTCGAGGAAGAAAAAAAGAATGCTACGCCGCCATGGAGATGACAGCAAGCTCCACGACTGTACAGACCTCCGTCTCCATGACGAACCACGTCGTCGTTGACTCTGGTGCATCGTCCCACATGACGGGAGCTGCTCAACACCTTCATGACACGAGTCCGTGTGATCGACGCGTGGTGGTTGCCAACAGCGAGAGCAGCATTGCTACCACAAATCAACATCAGGACACGTGCTCCTGATCGAAGGAATGCCAATGACCCTAATGTCCATCCCAGCCCTAATGAGCACCAACCCGGAAGTGCGCGTCCAATTCCAACGGGATGCATGTTCCATATACCGTGGGAAGACCAAAGTCGCCACTGCCTCCATGCCGCCGGGTCAACGACTGTACATACTCGAAGGGACATGCGTCACAGACTACGCCAACGCAGCTGTGGG